CCCACGAGACTGGCAGAGGATTTATCACCAACACAACCAAGGACACAGAAGATGGGAGCTTGAGCAAAGTCGCAAATCGAAGCAAAAAAAAATTCATATTCATCCTTGACATTTTCAGGTACTGCGTTTGGACAAATGGAAACTCCTTCTAAACTATCACATGACTGACTCCTGGGTTATTCATGGAAGTCTTCCAGCCTTCCCAAAACACAGACAAGGCCAGAATAAGCAGAGGGAAGCCGTGTTTAGCATTATTTCCACTGTGGGTAACATAAAGGTTTAGAAAGTATCCAGAGAAAAGGAAAGTGGAATCCTTTTCCAGTGCTTAACTATGTGCTATATGTTTTTAAAAGTCCTCTGTGTTTCTTTCTTTTCTTTTTATTTATTTATTTTTTTACACATAGACCATTTAATTAGGGGTTACAAGTAAAAAACTTACCACATTCAACAATATGCTGAGCCTTTCTAGAAAAACACGTTATACCAATAAATTAAAAAAGTTGAGTTTGTCTTCAGTGTTTTATAACTAGGAGTAAATTCTAATGCAAAATTCCTTTATTCATGACAGTACTGATTTTAATTTCAATTCAGTTTATCTATATAGCACCAATTCACAACACATTTCATCTCAAGGCACTTTACAGTTCACCAGATCATACAATCAAATTGATTCAAAGTTTTCTATCTCAGGAAAACCAGTTGATTTCATCGACTCATTGACTCGAATGCAATCCCTCACACTAAGCATGCTTGTAGTGACAGTGGAGAGGAAAAACTGCCTTTTAACAGGAAGAAACCTCCAACAGAACCAGGCTCAGTGTGAGCGGCCATCTGCTGAGGCCGACTGGGGTTCAAGGAGACAGAAGCAGAGATACAAAAATAACTGTTAAAGGCGGCCCCGTCCAGGAAACACACAGCCAGGCCGACGAGCTCCGAGCCAGCTCCCATGTCAGAGGATGAAGAAAGCACATCCAGCCAGTCTCAGTCAGAGAAACAGGACTACACTGAAAAAAGGCCACGCTCCAACATCTATAAACAAGGTGTTGATGGCAGCAGCACAGCTGATATTTCTCTCCAGGATGGAGTCACAGCCAAACAGAAACAGACCAGACGAAGCTACTATGAGAAAAAGCAGAGAGAGCAGAACGTTAGAGATTGAACTAACAGATTCTGCAGAGTTGGAGAATAGAAATAGAATGAAGAAGAATGATTAAATAGGGGTCCCTATGTCCTCCAGAGGTCTAAGCCTATAGCAGCATAACTATAGAGATAGCTCAGGATTTCATCTTTCTGTGTATTAACTGGATCTGTATCTCTTGTAAAGCACCTGGAGCTTCTGAGAATTGTATCACTCTATTAATAAGAACTGAAATGATAACAAGCAGGACTGAAGGATGGTGTGACGGACTGCTTTGGTAAGACCTGGGATATTCAGTCATATTAAATTTGTCACGACTTAATTAAAGGACAGAATTTACTCAATATTTTAAGATTTCTGCTTTTTTCCCTCTTGTTTTCAATCATGTTTTGATTTTAATCCTATTTAACAAGAATTGAACAAGACTCTTCCCAACAATGCACCACCTCATGTTCATAATCTTCTCTCCATAACCAAATTAGTTGTATTTTCTGTTGTGTTGAGCTCTAAATGAAGTTAAAACACTTGTATAATGTTTTATTATGATCATTATATGATATTTTTGCCAACCTATTTAAGCTACCATTTTTTCTGCCACTCTGAGAACATGAAACAATTTTATGTTAAACCTAAATATTTATCTATAAACTTGGCAGCTTATTGTTCAATACAATTCAATTCAATTGATTATATTTATATAGTGCCAATTCATAACACATCAAGGCACTTTACAGAGACCAGATCATGCAGTTGTTGAGTTAAAGCAACAGTGTAGAATGTTAATGATTGCGATGTATTGTAACACATTTAACACAGCCAACATAAGGAGTATATTTTTTTAGGCTGTGCTAGGAAGATGGAGAATTCATAGAGAACCCACGCCTAAATGGAAAGACGTGGATTTTAACCCAAGACCTTCTTCTTGCAAGGCAGCATTATTACACACTAGTGCAGTTGTGCAGTCCACCCTTTTACGTCCATTTAAACTAGATGCTTTTGTAAGTTAAAAGTCATTATGAACAGAATTGATCTAGAGGTCCAGAAAGATAAAAGCCTGTACCAAAATTTGTTCCAAACATTTGCATTTCCAGCTCCACAGTCTTTAGATCCATCTATATCCATACAGCAAACCCAAATAAGAGGTGCGCCAGCAGTCGCCATGATAGTGCTGGGAATAATTAAGGAGGTAGGAAAAGGAAGTAGGATGCTTCCTATAATTCCTATCTGGCACTAAAGAGCTATAAGGTTTCCTGCATTTCTTTGCATGACAGGACATATAGACACCCAATGCAGGCTTTAAACCCTCATGGAGGGTTATTATTTATTTATTTTTTCACATGTAATCTGTGTGACGCATGCTTACCTACTCACAGTCATATGTTTTGGGTTTTTTAATGAAGCTATAAAAAGCTTCAGTCGTTTGCAACATGTGTGTGGCCTGCGTTTCCTGCAGTTCTTTTTTAGAAGGCTGCAGTCCCAATTAAACAACCATCAGGCATACGGTATGTGATTCTGTAGTAGGAGCCATAAGTGAAAAGATACTTTGATGATCGTAAGTCTGTGTTTATTGCCGTTATGGTTTTGTTTTTATTTGTTTTGTTTGTTTGTTTTTTTGTTGGAGCGCTGGTGGGAGAGAGTGGGTGAATGGGCTGCTGTATTTTTTGTTGACCACTATACAATCACTGTGATTTGTCTAGTTATATTTTGGATACGTTATCCTACAATGTTTATTTATTGCTTCGTTAATAAAGTTCACACATCAGCACCATTTTGATCTCAGCGGATACAGCCCAACGTCAGCCTCTCAGCAGCTTTTTTGTTTCCTAGTTGTGTTATAACGTCCAGCAGCCCAAAGGTTTTGCAGATTCGATACAGCAGTTCCTTTCCAACCCACAACAGTGGCCAGACTGTTGACCCTGTAAAAGTTAAAGGGACAGGAGCAAGGAGCTACAATTTGCTGTATTTGGATTGAGGGAGCAACCATGGCATCAGGATTAAGACTAAAGTGAACCATTAGTGCACATTATTATTATTCTGTGCATGTTAATATGGGGTCACCTATTTTTATCAGTAAAAAAAATTTATAGCAAAAATTTGTTGAAAAGACATCATGATTTACGTCCAAACGATGTCTACATTTTGTTGAAAAATGAAAGGTTAAAAGCTGTAATTTGAAAACTGGGTTTGCAACGTCTTTTTCATGTCCATTACTGGACTGAAGTGGGACAAAATCAAACCAACCAAACACTGACAAATTTTCAGCAACTATTTCTGGACTTAATCAAGACTGTGATGGACCGACCAGATTTAGTCTAAAAACCGATGTCTCAATGACGTCTGGTGTTTGGGGGATTAAACGCCAAACAAAGGTACTTTACCCTACATATGGGGATTAAATATCCCGCACACACAATTTAATGACCATGAATAGAAACTGACACCCCCACCTATGTGAAAAAAATCAGCACACAGCCTGAATGGTCGCTGCTTCGTCAATGACGGTTTCACAGTAAAAATGATTTTTTTTTGTGCTACTTTTATTTCAGAGATACTAAATATTACTTTTTCAGGTCGTCCAGAGTCAATCATTCCTTCATTAAGCTCTGAATTGATCCAAAGTGGTTTAGTTTTTGGCACTTCTTTGGCGCAGGTCTGCAAATTTAGCTGTGCTGCTTTTGTTTTTAAAATCTAATCATCCTTAATTTCGGCTGATGATGTTTTAAGCAGCGTTCTCAAACTCCAGTCTTCAAAAACTGGTTTCTTGCAACTTTAGATGTATTCTTCAAACATCTGACTTCAATATGAGCTCATCAGCAGAGCTCCTTTAAACTGCATGCTATAGTGAGGTAGATTAGCCATTTTATTCAGTTGTGCAGAGTAACGGACACATCCAGAAGTTTCTTTGAGGATCTGATCAAAATCTCCTGGTTAAATGGACAGGATGAAGGGAAACTAAATACCTTGGCAAAAAACCTCATTAGCCGTGGCATGGCTAAAGTTCCAGGGTCCATTCCCGGCCCGGGGTCTTTCTGCATGGAGTTTGCATGTTCTCCTTGTGCATGCTTGGGTTCTCTATGGGTACACCGGCTTCCTCCCAGTCCAAAAACATTTTAGATTAACTTACTTCACTAAATTCTCCTTAGGCGTGAGTGTTAATGGTTATTTGTTTCTGTATTGCCCTGTGATGAACTGGCGACCTGTCCAGGGTGTAACCTAACCGCCCCTCTCCTTTAGACAGCTGGAGATTGGCACCAGCACCCCTTGCAAGCCCAGAAGGTATCATGCAGGACAGAAAATTTGGTTTGAAAAGTTTGTTGGTTCACAAAAGCTTGACAGAAAAGTTTGTTGGTTCAATTACCACCCATGTACTGTATTGCTTTGAATGGTTTCTATGTCTAGAAATGCTTTGTTTAATATCAGAACCTAAAAATCTAACACTTACAGACCTAAAACATTCTGCCATGTCTTTGCAGCTCTGTATAAAAAAGCTACCTAACAAATGCTAATAAAGATTAGATTCCTCATGAGTAAAAAACACTTCTACCAGCCTGCATAAATGTTTCGGGATTCTAGATGCTGCTTGACAAAATCCCTAATTAATGTGCTTCTTTCTGTCTTGACCTGAGAGACAACAACAACCTTGGGTTACCAGGTAACAAAAATCCAGGGATTAAATAGAACGTCCATGACCGGGACGGGTGAAGGATATTATGAGTTTCCATGACTTTTTCTAATCATTCTAAGCTCTATATGGATTAGAGGGAAGGGTCAAAGTAAGCGGGTGAATCATTGAGATCAGCGATAACGTTGGCAGGTATCAACTAATCCAGGAAGTAACCAGGTATAAAATTAGCTAAACTGAAGCATGAGTCCCCAATATAAAGGGGTCTTGTAAAGAGGCACGATGAAGAGAAATTTCGTCTCGACATGGTAACAGTCTGTATCTGACTTTCAGTCCCCTGCAGCTTAACACATTTGAATCATCATGTCCTTTTGTATCCATGTTACAGGTATCTGCTACGACTATGGGCTGCGTGAAGTCAACCAGAGTCTCTCTTCTCCTGTTGTGCTTTCTACTGAATGTAGCGGATTATTCAAGCTGTAAGGATTTACCCCACAGTTAAAACTATTACAGTCTTGCAAAGTTTCAGCTTTTCAGCTACAACAGATATTCTTTTGAGAATCGGACCATAAAGAAAGAGGCACAGAGCTAAAACTAAGAAAAGAAGCAGCATTTTACTTTAACTTTCATTTGATATCAGCCCTATTCCATTCTGCTCTCTCCCTCTGCTCTTGCAGTGGCCTGTGAGGGATGCAGCCTGAGACTGAACAAGTTTTTTGCTCACTATGGGTCAATCTACCAGTGCATGGGTTGCTGCTTCTCTCGAGCGTACCCCACCCCTCAATCAGCCCTGGAGACCATGTCAGTCAAGAAGAACATCACTTCAGAGGCATGGTGCTGTGTTGCAAAGCACAGCTACGAGGTAAAGGCACCAGGGAGCCAAATAAACAATAAACATACCAGAAAAAGTAATAAATAAATATACAAGTTGTTAGATGTTGTGCTACCCATCAATGACTCAATATTTACAACAGCAATAATATGCTCTAGTTAATTATTAGATGTCAGAAATGTCATGTTAAAAAGACATCTGGTTTGCTTTTGTATGGAAATGTGAGGAGCAGATTTTTTTTAGCTTTCATTCCAAGGGCATTATAAGTCTATGCATTTTTTCTTAACCATATGATATGGAAAATAACCATTTTTCCCTCTTATTTTTCTTTTCTTTTTATTCCTAATGCACCTTTTCCTCCTTGTTTGCACCTTCTTTAAGTACTATGCCAATATGTGACCAGTGAATTTCTCCGCTGTGAGATAAATAAAGCTAATCTAATCTAGTCTAATTTATTAGATGTACATATAACAATATATTCTATTTGATTTAATCTAATGTGCTGCTAAGTCTGACTTATATACCTATATTTCATGTAAAAAGGTTAGAATATTGGAACTGCGATAGATATATTTTGACCTGTTAAAATTAGCTGTAGCTGATTTTTTAAATAATTGTTGTAATAATTGTTTTTTTTTTTTAAAGATAAGAAAAAAAGTCAAATACAGGATTTGTCCATCTTTTTCCTTTAACTTTGTTTCTTGCAGATAGTTTTAGGAGGTGAAATAACAGTGAGAAACCACACAGCGTGTCACTGCAGCACCTGCTATTACCATAAGGTGATTTGAAACGTGGACGACTTGCAGCCATCTACTCAGCCCTGCTCCTTGGAAATGCACAAACCTTTCTCTATTGTGGACTTCAAGTGTTTTTTGTTCGTCTTTCTTTATTTTGTGATGTGAAACTAGCCTTCATGTTAGCATTGAAAACTGTGTATCTCTAACTAAGAACTTTAACGTGTAATTAAAAAAGTGCACCAAGAGGTCCGAAGATAATGTGTTTTATTCCTGGCTAAATATTTAATGTTGTTGTCTTTTGAAACAAGGTCATTGAAGTGATTTATGTGATTACCACCTTTGTTATTTAATGCATTTCTTCTCTGAGAATGAAATAAATACTTTAACAATCCCCAAATGTAATGTAAAAGAGAACTTTTGAAGCGTATTTACCCTACAAAAAAAAAGGGTGTTCACACTCTGGAAAAACGATCTAGAAATAAATAAAAATGTCTTAAATTAAGTGTATTTACCATTAATTTCAGTATGTAATTGTGATAGTTTGCCAATGGAATGAGTATTTTTACTCTTAGAATAAGATATTTAGTAATAATGCACTTGAAATTAGACAAGGCAATTGCATTTTCTTATTTTAAGTGTAAATGATCTTGTTCCATTGGCAAAATGTCTCCTTTACACTGCAAAAACAATCTAGAAATAGGTCAATATTTCTTAAATTAAGTGTATTTACCCTTAATTTGAGCAGGTAAATCAGATGATCTGCTAATGGAATGAGTATTTTGACTCTTAAAATAAGATAATTAGATAATATGCACTTGAAATAAGACAAATCAATTGTGTTTTCTTATTTTAAGTGTAAATTGTTTTGCTTCATTGGCAAAATGTCTCTTTTACCTCCTCAATCCAAGAAGGAATGCAATTATTTTAAGAAAAAATGACTTATTTAGATTTCGATTTTTTCCAGTGCAGTTCCTGACATCACTATAAATACCCATGTTACAACCAGATACTTAAACATATTTAATAAATTCTTCTGGCTTTCTCTTAACAGTGGCTTTCATTTAGCTACTAATTCAGTGTATTAAAAGTAAATGCTCTTAGAGTCTTAATGAACTCGTTTTTATGGTAAAGAAACATTGCCTAGGTGTATTCAGCTCTTTAACTAAAGATAACCCAGCCCTTTTCCCATTTACAATTTAGACTTTATATACCTTTACATTGACATCTGTTATTAGAAAGAGTCTATTAAACATGTTTTCAGTGATTGTTTTGCTTGTGGATTAGGGCTTGATTAAACCTTCTCTAAGCAGCTCACACTGGATCCAGGTTGGACTTAGTCTAAGACAACTTTTACTGTCATTTTCTATACACAGTGCAAGAATGTATACAAAACAACATTTCATTTAGCAAAGCTTTCAAGACAGTAAATTAATATAAAGTGCAGCAGTGATCAAATGTAAACAGTGGGAGGAAAAGAAAAAAAAAGTTGTAAAATATCTCCAGGGATGCACTGTTTTCAGTCTAAGGGACCGAAAAAAATGAGAGGATTTTAGTTTTAGTCCAGACAATGGTTTATAGTATCCATCAGACGGGTGGCGTTTCTGATGTTGTACATACAGTGCACTGATACAGATAGTTTTTTTTTTCAAAGACTGTTTAATTAATACAGTGGTTCCCTGGCTTGGCCATCCAGAGTGATTTGCCTCATGGACACGGCATATCAATCTGGAATGGAGCAAGACAAAAATAAGAGTAAAAAGTAAAGCCCGATTACAAAGGTGGGACTAAAAGAGAGAAACAGTGTAGAACTAATCAGATAACTTTGGATGTGATGCAAAAAAATATTTAAAAAAAATGAAAAACTCTGACAGCAGCCAGATGGTAAAATTTGCAGAACTACAGGCCAATGTCAAACCTCAAAAAAAGCTGCATTTCATATATACTAAAGTATATCTATGTCTAGTGTGTATGTATGGGGCACATTTGGGTCTGTTGTCTAGGGCGGCGGAGAGGGGATCTTCTACTTCATATGGGACCCACCCAGATAATGTCAGGTTTCTGTTATGTTTTTCTTTTCAGTATTCAGTCTTGCTTTACTCCTTGTTTTCTAGTGTTAGTGGTTTTATTTTTATTTTGCTGTGTTCTTTGGTTTTTTCCAGTTACTGTCCTAGTCTGGGTTCTGTTCTGTTTTCTTATGAGTGTTTAGTTTTCTTTTCTCCATGTTTTATAGTCCTAGTAATATAACATTGTGGTATTTCCAGTCTTCCAGGTTTCTCTTTTGTTGCTCTCTGCTGCCCTCTTGTGTTCTCCTCCTTCCCTAGCTCTTTCCCTCTTGCTCTGTGCACACCTGCTCCCAGTTTCCTCATTAGTATGGAGAGATACTGTATTTGTGCCATCGGTTTGAGCGCACAGGAACCAATCCGAGCGCGCAGTGAGACAACACGCGCGGTCTGGCGCGCGCTCAACTCTGAAAAACCCTCTCAACACACTGTTCTCGCGCTCAGTTTCATCTCTGCGCGTGCTCGAATCCGTCTCTGCTCGCGCTCGCTCGACCTGCTCTCTCTCCGCGCTCAACACCAGCTGTGCGCTCGGCTGTTTCTCCGCTCGCTCGACTCTCTGCGCTCGCAACTTCAGCAATGTATGTAAATGAACCATACCATCAGCCAATCACACCCAGCTTCTTTTCATCCAATGAAAGCATTCCTTCCTTCTTCTTCTTCTTTTCTATCATGGCGGATCGCAAGCAACTTTAAGGTGCATACCGCCACCTACTGTTCATGAGTGTGTAGCAACATTGTTTTACATCTATTAAATTCTATTTTTTAATTTTGCATTCTGAAGATAACTAAATAATGCTTTCCTTAATCTATAAACATCCTTTATATTTCCTTTATTTCCCAATAATCCTTTAAGACTCCATTCTTGGCCTGTCATTTCAACTACTCTTCTCAATTTTTCCCTTTCAGGTTCATATGTTTTACAGTTCATTAATATGTAAGCATTCGTTCCAAATACTACATCCGGTTAGATGAAAAAAAATACATAAATAAATAAAAACACAATCAGGAAAATCAAACAACTCTTACAGTTATTTTGTCAACATTCCTAAGATAGTACTATAAAATATCTTGAATTATCTCAAATAAACTTCAGTAAAACAGTTATTAGATCATTGCCTCATCCATCTCTTTTACCTGCTATTGACATGGATTTAAATTTGATGTTTTAAAAGAAAAATAAGGAGGATATTTCAGGTTCCAGTATGGTTCAACAGTATATAGATAAAAAATATTATGGATATGTTAAATTTTTTATGGATGCTTCAAAATATTCCAATATTAGGAATGGTGTTTTGTTTTAGTTTCATAATTTATTTTTAAATCGGGTAAAAGAATCAGTGATGGAATTCAGCCTACAAAGGAGAAATGTTTTGGATCATATTGGCCTTACAATGGATTGAAGAAATCGTTCCATTAAGAAGTTTAGTTTGCTCTGATTTTAGATCAGCGACCGTTATATTAATTTAAACGCAATTATTCAGACAGCAGACCTGATCTGAAATTTAACAATTATTATTTAGAAGACCTTTTACAGATGGACTCTAAATAAGAGGGTTATTCTTTATTATATATATTAAAAAGAATAATTTGATAAACAGGATTTTTCAGTTGGTGGCGGTAATTGTTGTTTGCCAACCTCCATAAAAAACAACAAAAAGAAGAAACACCCGCCACAAAAGCTAAGAGTAAGGCCAATATGATCCAAAACATTATCTATATACTGTTGAACCATACTTGAACCTGAAATATCCTCCTTATTTTTCTTTTAAAACAGCAAATTTAAATCCATGTCAATAGCAGGTAAAAGAGATGGATGAGGCAATGATCTAATAACTGTTTTACTGAAGTTTATTTGAGATAATTCAAGATATTTTATAGTACTATCTTAGGAATGTTGACAAAATAACTGTAAGAGTAGTTTGATTTTCCTGATTGTGTTTTTATTTATTTATTTATTTTTTTTTTCATCTAACCGGATGTAGTATTTGGAACGAATGCTTACATATTAATGAACTGTAAAACATATGAACCTGAAAGGGAAAAATTGAGAAGAGTAGTTGAAATGACAGGCCAAGAATGGAGTCTTAAAGGATTATTGGGAAATAAAGGAAATATAAAGGATGTTTATAGATTAAGGAAAGCATTATTTAGTTATCTTCAGAATGCAAAATTAAAAAATAGTATTTAATAGATGTAAAACAATGTTGCTACACACTCATGAACAGTAGGTGGCGGTATGCACCTTGAAGTTGCTTGCGAACCGCCATGATAGAAAAGAAGAAGAAGGAAGGAATGCTTTCATTGGATGAAAAGAAGCTGAGTGTGATTGGCTGATGGTATGGTTCATTTACATACATTGCTGAAGTTGCGAGCGCAGAGAGTCGAGCGAGCGGAGAAACAGCCGAGCGCACAGCTGGTGTTGAGCGCGGAGAGAGAGCAGGAGAGCAAGCGCGAGCAGAGACGGATTCGAGCACGCGCAGAGATGAAACTGAGCGCGAGAACAGTGTGTTGAGAGGGTTTTTCAGAGTTGAGCGCGCGCCAGACCGGTTTTGCGCGCGCGCGTGTTGTCTCACTGCGCGCTCGGATTGGTTCCTGCGCGCTCAAACCGATGGCACAAATATCTCTCCATACATTAGCCCCCTCTTTGTCTCAGTCTCCTTTAAAAGCCCTCTCTCTTCAGTTCCCCTTTGCTGGGTCCTCGTCAAACACTGCCAAACTTTGTCAAACTTCCCCCAACTCTGTCTTTCTGAGTTTTCCTCATTATGACAGTGATTCCCCTGATGTCTCCACGGTTTCTGGTTCGTTTTGATTAATTTTTTTGTTTGATTCTTTTGGATTTTTGGACTCCTGATTTCATGCTTGTTTGGACTTCATTTTCATTATTGGATTTTTGGATAACCTGCCTTTGTTTTCAGTTTCCTTTTTTAATTAAATCTAATGAAATTCACCTCTGCCTTCCTGCCTCTGCTTTTGGGTCAACACTCTATAACCAAATCCTGACGGGCCTATTGTTGTGTCGTTACGCCATTGGGAGGGAGCCAGCCGGGGATGGAACGACCAAACCCGACCCAGTGATGGTAAATGCGGGGCCGCATTTACCATCACATCTACCCCAATCTGGTCACCATAATGACTTATGGAATAAGTCATTATTTGCTCATTTGTTTAAATGTGAATAAATGTGTTTTTTTGTGTCTTTTTTTTTGCAGAACACTTCTAACCAAAAACAGGCCCCCAAGTGGACCGTGTTCAGGACCTCATTAAATTACTTATTCCATAGATGACTTATGGAATAAGTGATCTAATTTCAACATGTGAAAACACAGAAATTCAGCAGTGCTAAAAGCTGTTTCATGATGCACATCCTAAATGTCGCATTTTGAAATTAGATGGCTTATTCCTTTCCAAAGTTTTTTTTTTTTTAATAAATTAGTCAATGCAAGCTTCTGTTACTGTTCTTGCTTTGTTTGAATATGAATGCATTTTTTTTTTTTTTCGCAGAACACTTCTACCCAGAAATGGGCCCCCAAGTGGACCGTGCCCAGGGCCTCATTAAACCCTGGGTCCGGCTCTGCTGCAGACATCAGGGGTCTTTCTTTTCTGGAGGAGCCCAATGTGAGCCTCCCTTCCCCCTTCTGCGTGCTCGTGCGGGGGCAACGTAACATCTGCGCGTAAGCGGTCGTGGTTGTTGTGAAGATGGCGGAGGGGGAGACAGAAAAGGAATATGATACACGGAAAAGCACCGAGGAGCTGCGAGGGCGCTTCCAGGCTCTGACCACGGCTTTAAAAGAAAGTCCGCAGCCTCCGCTGGAAGCCTCGCTGCGCTTCTGCCAGGAGTTCTGCCAGGTTAGCCCGATGTGCCGCTGCTCATCCCGGCCAGCCTGCAGCCCCTCTGGCTTCCTGGCCGAGGATGCGCGTCTACGTTTGCTAAACAATGTAGCAGGGGAGCTAGTAGCCTAGCTAGTCGCCTTGCATTTCTAGATATAGAGAGAAAAGAAAGAAAATGTCTTCTTTCTCTAATTGTTCACACAGATGCGGATATGTGCAGATGTGTGTGAGACTGTGAAAGAGGGCGAGCCGCTGCAGAGTCTGCCAACTGTGCAAATAGATCCGCTATTTTCCAGGCCAGATAGCCCAGAGCGGATGAATGCTGCTAGCTGGTATGCAGGGTCCCCCTGTCCTGTGCAGTGGTCATGCTGTGCAAAAAAAAGAAAAAGAAAAAAAGACCGGATAGCTGCGTTAGCGGCGTTTACCCAGCGAATGCATTCATGTGCATTAAAAATCCCTCCTTTAGGCGATAGAAAACGCTTCTTTTTCATCCATTAAATGCTGCTTTACTTTGTGAGGTTGTTTCATTGATCGCGGAGCTTTGATTTTTTTTTTTTTCTTCACAGGATGCTAACGCGGGCCTTTTCCTCTAATTAATCCAGCTAATTACATCACTGCAGATGTTAATTACAGCGTTATAGTCATCGCCATCATAACGCGTTTACAGTGAAAGAAAGCGACCCTCCTTCATCTGTCTGCCTCACAGGCGGAGATTTAGAGGGAAAACTGTGCCAGTGGTCACTGACTCCATTACATCCCCCTGATTAATTAGCCCTGGCTACCTGGATAAGAAAGAGATGTCCATGTGACGCCATGCTGCTCAAATTACTACGGAAGAGGATTAGGGACACTGAAAAATAGAAAAAAAGTTAACGGATTTTTACATTTTATTTCAGTGTAATATGAGAAAACAGTCAGAATTTTGACTTTAATTTCAGAATTCTGACTTTTTTCTAAGAATTCCAACTTTTATCTCAGATTTCTGACTTTTTTCCTCAGAATTGTGACTTTTTTCCTCAGAATTGTGACTAAGAATTCTGAGTTTAATTTCAGAATTCTGACTTTTGTCCTCAGAATTCCAACTTTAATCTCATATTTCTGACTTTAATCTCAGAATTCTGACTTTTGTCCTCAGAATTCCGACTTTTGTCCTCAGAATTCCGACTTTTGTTCTCAGAATTCCGACTTTAATCTCAGATTTCTGACTTTTTTCCTTAGAATTCTGACCTTTGTCCTCAGAATTCCAACTTTTGTCCTCAGAATTCCGACTTTAATCTCAGATTTCTGACTTTAATCTCAGAATTCTGACTTTTTTCCTTAGAATTTTGACTTTATTCTCAGAATTCTTACCTTTGTATTGAATTTTGAGATTATAGTCAGAATTCTGTCCTTAATTTCAGAATTGTGACTTTTTCTCTCAGAATTCTGACTTTAACAAACATGTTAGCATCAAGCCGTAGCCATGTCTTTTTTAATTTATTTTATTTTAAATACTCTTATAAACCCAGAGGGAAATAACTTCTCTGCATATAAGCCATCCCATTGGGTTGCCATTGTGCGGCACCTTGGGAGCAGTGTGGGGTTAAGAGTCTTGCTCAGGGTGCCCAGAGTGGCAGTGTGTGGGAGTGGGGGATCGAACTCACAACCTCAGGGTTCAAAGCCCTAGGCTCTGTTTTTAATCACCTTCTGCTCTTCCATTGATGAAATAGCATAACCTGGGACTCTTCGAACACGTAAAAAGTTTTATAATTATGAAAACAACACAATCTGTCCACTCTTTACTTTAGGATTACAGTGATGGTCACATGCATTATGATGCATGTACAACACTTTTGATAGCTGCAAAAAAAGAAAAATAGAGATGCACCAATTTTCTTACCTTTATTTTTCTTTGCTTATCGGTGACTATCACATTTAGAGAGAAGATAGCAAAGAAATCCAACAGAAAATGAAAGAAATAAAGTTTGTGATCGTAGAGACCATAAACTTTATCTGTTTTTGTGTTCAATTCTAAAACGCATGTAAAAACTCGCAGAGCGGATTGGACATTTATTTTTCCATCAGCGTATCAGCTGCAAATTGACAAGCGAAGGGATATGCCGCCTGAAATGAGCATTAATTACAAAAAAGTAAAAGAACTGTGTAGCAAAAATGCGTAATAAGGATCCCTATTGATAGACATAAATATTTCATGCAGATCTTAAAAAAACAAAACAAAAATCAAATTGTATTATTAAATGTATTGGTGCACAAACTCTGCTTTTTTATGTTTGTGTTTGTTACCGCATGTTTTTAGACTGCAAATTACATTAGTTATGAATCATGATGCACTAAATTTATAGGGAAAATAATACATCTTTTCATCATTTGAACCACCGACCATCAATTCAGTATAAACCATTAACAACGTAGAGATTATAGCATTAAATAAATGTATATATAAGTATACTTTTTGTTACCTTGTATGTAAACTGAACATTATGTTATGGGGATTTTAAATGGATTTTAGTTTTGATGCATTTAATTAAATAAAAAATAAAAAAATCAGCCAATCACCAAGTAATTTGAAAATGAGTGATTTGTGTTGGATTGATGGGTGCATGTCTGTCCCAAATAGAAAATATTCACCTATATGTTTAAATAATAGGCACTTTTTAAATTTTATTTTACTTTGTAAAAATGGTTGACTTTTGTCACATATTATATTATATGTTTAATTTAATGCCTCACTAGTAAAAACTCTTAAAGAGTTTAAGAAAAGTTATTAAAGGAACTAAACATGTAGCTATCTCCCAACTTTAAATATGATTGTAATTACATTCTACAAACTAAAAGTGACTTTTGGATGAGCTGAACCTTTATTAGATCTATTTAATACGCATCAGAGTACCTTTTGACTGTAAATGGGTTTATATTTAGAGGGTTTCTTTACCCGAACCCTCTGATAAACTGAAACCTGTCTGTGATTGGTTGATTATTATTTTGAATAACTCGTTTACACATCATTACATCAGATGGAGTGTTCCAATAACCTAAAAACAATTAGTAGTAGATGCTGATCACAATCCACCTAACTGGGAAAGCGCAAAGTTAGGATTTCCCACAATCATAAACGCACCAATCGCCTGCATTTTAGTTTAGTAAGAAAAATCTGATGGGACAATAATGTAATTTCCTTATTTTGTGTTCAGGAGGAACTATCAACACCTTTTTGGGTTTTATTTGGCTTAGAAGAGCTAAATTAATTAATTTGTTAAAGAAATTCTGATGTTTCAAGATTGTTTTTTATCTTTTATTATTGTCTGCTTTAAAAACGCTTTGATCCGAGGTCCGCCTTGTCTTTTACGCAGGTTCTGGTGGAACATGCTGGTCGTTGGAAAACCGATGAAGACCCGCTGCCTTTGCTGGAGGTTTACACCGTGGCCATCCTCAGCTTTGCTAAGGCTGCTTCCTGTCTCTCCTTCGATTGTGAAAATGTGTCGCTTCTACTTGAAAAGTTGGCATTGTGAGTAAAACCTGGCCTCCTAACTTTAAAGAAGTTCCATTGTTTCTAGCTTTGCCTTTAACTTTTTTTATGTAGTCAATGATATGAAAATTATTAATAGAGGAATTAAATGAAATCTAAATCAGTCCTTATGAGACCTAAAGAAATGGATCCATTGTTTGATCATTATTTAGATTTAGATTTAGATGACCTTTGTTAATCAAATTATGTAGAACCCAGATAATTAAACGTAGGGGTGGAAAGGTTTGCACCGTGAATTGAAAGCATGAGGAACGTAAAAAGTCTCAAAGTCTTGATCCTTCATCCTTATTGGATAAATTTATTGTTATGAGCATAATTTTCATCTAAACCAGGGGTGTGTGACCTGTGACCCCAGAGCCACATGTGTCTCTTTGTAAAAAGCTTTAGAAGTTTTTTCAAAATACAATAAATTTGAAATCTCGAAACACAATTTTTTTCTCTCAAAATCAGAACATCTGTGTTTCCTCCATATTAATTTTTTGTGCTTTTCTTTATTCTAAAACCTAAAAAAAAGACAAATAAAATGTTGGCTCTTTAAAATATAATGTACAGATGTTTAGCAAAAATAAAACGTTGTCTTTTATCAAAAGGTCATATGATATTTGTGTCTTTGATCAACTTATTTAGCTGCAATAGGGGTCAAACTGCTCTTTGGATTAAAAAGGTTTCAAACCTCTGATCTAAACCAGGGATTAACTTTGATAAGGTTTTTAATACATCAGCATTTGTATTTTTACTGCACCTCTTTATCAACTTTTTTTCTTAAGGTATAGACACATTCAGAGAATATGAGTAAATAAAAAAAAAAGTTAGAAAACAATCCACTGGACTTTTACTGGAAAAACAATCTAGAAATAATAAAAAAATGTCTTAAATTACCGTAAATTCCGGACTACAGAGCGCACCTGATTACAAGCCGCACGCTCTAATTTTAGAAAGAAAATCAATTTTGTACTTTTATAAGCCGCACCGGATTTTAAGCCGCAGGTTTCCCACGTTGTATGAGATATTTACAAATAAAGATATTACACATGAGGAATTTTTTTAACGTTTGATTTAATCCGTATGATAAAACAAGCAAATACGGTACATATTATGAATGCTTTTTTTTCCCAAACTACCTGTAACACATTTAAATATACGTATGTGTCGGTAACACGCAAATAACGCTGCATAGCTGCATATACTGGTACTTTTAATTGACCAACGCACAGAACATTGCAGCCGACCAGGAAAAGTCATTAATCACTTTCTTCTTCCTCCTGCACACTAAAACCCTCAAAGTCCTCTTCCTCGGTGTCTGAATGGAACAGCTTCAGGATGCTGTCACTGACTTCAGTCTCATCCTTGTCGCTCTCACTTGAGCACCCGCGCTCCTCTTCATCCCGCAGCAGCCCAGCCTTCCGAAACCCGCCGGTGATGCTGGATGTTTTCACACGGCGCCATGAAAAAAAACATGTATTAGCCGCGCTGTATTATAGGCCGCAAAAATTAGGGGCTTATAGTCCGGAATTTACAGTAAGTGTATTTACCGTTGATTTGCATAGATAAATGAGATAGTTTGCCAATGGAATGAGTGTTTTTACTCCTAAAATAATAGACTCATTTTGTCATTTTATTTCAAGTACATATTAGATAATATGTACTTGAAATAAGACAATGCAATTGTGTTTTCTTATTTCAGGTGTAAATTGTCTTGTTCCATTGGCAAAATGTCTCTTTTACCTCCTCAATCCAAGAACAAATAGAAAAAATATAAGAAAAAATTACTTATCTAGTTTTTTATTTTTCCCAGTGTCGTTTCTGAGTTTGAAAACATTTCTCTTCCCATCCAGGATGCTTTTTCAATTCAGAATGTCAGAAATAGCGCCGAGTTCGAGGCTTAAACACTATTTCTGACACTTTGAATTGAAAAATCTTCCTAGATGGGAAGCGAAACGTCTTCAAACTCGGAAACAAAGTCCAGTGGATTGTTTTTTAACTTCACTGACTATGACCTGGATGACTGATAATCTTCACCAGCCTTATGAGTAAATCCACTTTTTCTTGTGCAGTGTAATTATAGTTGTTGTCCCAAAGAAGCCTATTTTAAATGGGTTTATTTCTCAGAAGTGACTGTGGGGCTATGATTGCTGTGTCATGCAGTTACCTTAGAATGTCTGAAAAGAAGCAATAAAGAGTAATTTTTTATCATTATGGCAATCGTAGCACAAAATATGGGGATAAGTTTGAAGTCGGAACTGAGATAAAGTCACTTTCTGGATGTTTTTAATAAAATCTGACAATACCGTATTTTCACGACCATAAGGCGCACCGTACTAAAAGGCGCACTCTCAGTTATGTGTCCCATTTCTGTATTTAACACACACATAAGGCGCACCGGACTATAGGGCGCGTTTTTTATATACAGGTACATGTCCTCTACTACCTTTAAATACCTCTACTGCGTATTTAAAAATACAGCGGGGGCAAAACTGAGTATGACTGTGCTTTATTCATGTATTTATTACAAAGTATTAATCAAACCTGGCAGCTGGCCGTGAGACAGACACATCGCAGATGACACAGCGCTGTGATTACTCCTAAATCAACTTAAAATCCTGAAACCTGCCGACGGAATATGTTCGCTTTTATTACCGGTATCCTGGTGCCTGCAGTTTAAATTATTTAGATGAAAAACACCTGCCAGCCGCTGCGGTGAACCTGGAGGCTACCCGGCCCAGAGGCTGCTGATGAAAGGATTTCTACTGTCGGTGCACCGCTGGTATGTGGGGGTCTGAGCGCCTCCGACAGAAATAGATAATCTGGATGAACTGACTGCAATGAAGTTTTCAGGTGGCCTTTCTAACTTAAAAACATATTAAAACTACTTTATTCCCACTGATCACAGCAAATATAGCAGCAAGATTTAGATTATTTAGATGAAAAAACACCTGCCAGCCACCGCGGTGAAGAGGAGGAGACCCGCCCAGAGGCTGCTGTTGAATTAAGTTTTCAGGTAGAAAAATAGAGCGGGAGCAAAACTGAGTATGATTGTGCTTTATTCATGTATTTATTACAAAGTATTAATCAAACCCATCAAAGTCATCATCCTCTGTTTCTGAATTAAACAGCTGCGCTAAATCAGACATGCCAATTTCTCCTTCTTCGCTGTCAGAGTCACTTTCCGTGCACCGCGGCTCCTCAGAAATAATGCCGGCTTTTGCAAAAGCTTGAACAACAGAGCCAGCAGACACGTTAGTCCAAGCATCTACAATCCATCCGCAAACTGTGGTCTCAGTCTGTCATCCATCGCTCCCACGCCGCTCGCAGCCTTACTTTGAACGGCCGCTTCACACCGATGTCGAGCGGTGGAAGTTCCTTTGTCAGACCCCCGGGATAACGGCGAGCACAGCATCCATTTGATTCATCTTTTTTTCACATCGGCTGTGAGATGGGCACGCAGCGATGGTGATGCGTGGAAAAAAACACCTAGTCTCCTCACATACACCTCCCTCAGCCACGCTTTCATCATCTCCTCAATGAGGTGGTCTCAAAAGTCGCAGTTACAACACACATAGGGCGCACCGCACCATAGGGCGCACCGCACATTTTGAGGGAAAAAAAAGACGTTTAAGTGCGCCTTATAGTCGTGAAAATACGGTAATTGTGCTTCGAATTTTGACACGTTTTCAAGTTTCCAATAATGCTTTTAATGATTACTACATTTCAGGAGAAGCTAAAGGAGAACCTTCTTGTCATCATTTTTTATTCCCCTACAGAGCGGCACGCGGAGGGAGGAGTTATCCTCGCCTGTTTTTCCCATTTGCTTTCGAATGTGCGCACATCCTTGACCTAAATGTTGCTTTAATAAATGACTGTGTTGGATCCACAGGAGCTGTGCGGAACTGCTGCTTTCAGTGCCCCAGCATGTCCCTGGTGCCTTATGGGAGGAGTTCCAGTCCTCCGTGAAGGTCAGTATCCTGCAGCCCATTAGAGCTTTACTGATGTTTAACTTTGCTGTCATAAGAAGCTGGTATATTCTGTCTATCACTACTCAAAGACATGTTTGGAGATGCTGGTTTGTATCAGTGAAAAACCCACATGGGTTTCTTGAGCTCTATAGAACTGAAGCTTTAGTTATGAATTTATTGTTCATAATTTCTCAACGCTGTGCTGCAGTTGGCACAAAGCCTTTTGCAGGAAAGTGGGAGCACACAGCTCCGTCTGCTCTCAGTTCTGGCACAGCAGGACGGCGTATGGGCCAACACCACATTAAGCAGCATCCTGTCCAATCAGATTCCACGGACTGAACAAGGTTAGCCCTCCCGTTGTTCCCCCAACTTAATGATCCGAGACTCGCCTCGCTAATTTCTACCGCCGTCATTTAATGAAATGACTGCTATCTGTGATCTTCTTCCCACCTTTCTTTCTCTTCAGTGCACGAGTATCTTGAGTCTGAAGGTCCCACACTTCTCAACTTGCGGATCAAGCACCTTATCAAAGTGGACAGCGTCGACAAAGCCGCTGCGCTCGCAAAGATTTGCTCAGAGTATCCAGGGTATGAAGGAAAAGGCAGCTTCAAGCAGACCTACCTGGTTTGCATCTGCATGACAAAAAGTCAGGAGCAGCTGATGGAAGAGGTATGACACTGCTGCTCACTGACAGTTATCTGGTGAAAAGCTCTGAAACGTGTCCAAACTTTTAAAGATTCTGTTCTTTAAGATGGAAATCATTAATTTTCTACCTTTAATGCGACAAAGTTTGTTTACACTTAAGAGCAGATTTTCCTGGCAATTGATTGGTTTATTGGCTACTTTCGGAATTACGTATTAACAGGATTCCCGCAGGTCCTTAAAAAGTCTTAAAAGGCATTGAATTCTTCAAAATAAAACTAAGGCCTTAATTGGTATTAAAATGTCTTAAATCAGTCTTTTGTAGGTCTTAATTTTTAAAACATCATAAATAGGATTATGTTTATTATGATTAATTTTTGTAATCTAAATAAAGCATTAAAATTGACCTTTTTTTATAAGAAAAAAATAACGGCTCGCCATTATTGGTTCCGTCCCGATAGCGGAACCAATAAAAGCATTGTTGCGGCCGGGACATTTGGGAGATGCGCCATTTACTTTTTGTCTGGAAAATATGAGCAAGTGTAAATGTAACCAAAATTGTCTCCAGCCAAGAGTTTTCTCCATGGCTAAAACCAGGGAACAAACATGAGGCTCAGTGGATTTTGTGCAAGAAGTCATTCAAGCTCAGAACGATGGGAATTAAAGGAATAGTACACCCAAAACATGATTAGCCTTCATTTTCTACTCACCCCCATGCTGAACAACACTCTGGAGTACTTTTTTGATATCTCAAATGCATCTGGAGATCTGGGAGGCTTCTTGCTGTCTGCTGACATTCAAATAATGGAGGTCTATGGCGCCCGAGGCAGAAAGGTCCATAAAAGTCCACAAAAAACGTGTCAATATTCCTCCATACTGCTCGTCCAATGTATTCCAAGTGTCCTGAGTGGGTAGCATCCAGAATTTACTCGAAACTAAGTCATTTAGAATGTTTTTAGAGCATAAACAGTAGTGTTTGTTCAGCATGGGGGTGAGTAGAAAATGAAGGCTAATCATGTTTTGGGTGTACTATTCCTTTAAGGCAGTGGAGTCACACATGCAAAGCACGAAACACAAAGCGTCAAAATGGAGTTACTGAGAAACAGCCGGTATTTCTCAGTTTAGTTCCACCCTTGTCTCTGCAACGCCTCCACTTATCACCAAATCAAACATACTAAGAAAACCATACAAAGAAAAATAGCTGCTAAAAAGACTTAGCACTGGTTATGTTGTGGCTTTAAAACTGATTAGTTTTGTTCCCTGCCAAAACAAAGTTTGTGAATTCAGTTTAATAATTATTAAAATTAGGGATGCACGATATTGGGATTTTGGGCGATATCCGATATGCCGATATTTTAAAACTCATGTAGCCGATAACCGATACCGATGTTAAAGCTGGACAAAAATAAAATAAAAAAAATTGAAAATAGCAGTTTTTTTTATCCATTTCTGACCCTTTGAAAAATAATATACTCAAATATATTTTCATATGCTGATATCAAATTGTTGTTGTTTTTTAACGCGGTATCGATCTATTTTACTTTCAAAATCTCGTGAAATTTCATCATTCTGTTACAAACTCTTGTGATATTTTGCAAATTCTTGTGAGATTTTGTTAGTAAAATAGATCGATACCGCGTCAATATATCAACATTTATAACTTTGGCAAAATTTCTATGAAATTTAGCAATATTTCATTAGTAAAAGAGATTGATATGGTGTTTTTAAATGGTAATATATCAGTATATGAAGATATTGTGATATTTGAATGTATCAATATTTTTTCCCTCGTCTTTAGAAGTTTTTAAGTCTGTAAAAAAGAAGTTTTTGAGGAAGAAGTAGTATTTTTTTTTTTTTTTTTTTTAGACTTTAGAAACTCAGAAGCTGATCAAATATCGGGTTAAATATCGGTGGGGTGGCCGATGTCCGATATTAAGTTTTAAGGCCGATACAGGCCGATACCGATAGGGGACCGATTATATCGTGCATCCCTAATTAAAATATATCTGTCATTTGTGTGTTTTTAGCTTTCTTCCTGTATGGAAAGCTTTTCAAAATTTGAAACATCTGTGCAGTGGTTTATGTTAAAATAAACCTTGGGGTTAAGTTGTCGCAAGCAGGTTTTTCTTGTGTTTCTTGTGAATTTGGTCTTAAATTTTTATTTCAAGTGGCATTAAAAAGTCTTAAAAAGTATTGAATTTAACTTGCCTTATGCTGTAGGAACTAGGGTTGTCAAAAGTATCGATACTCAAAAAAGTATCGATACTGAAACGTTGTATCCGGATACAATACTCATTTTTAAAAGTATTGATACAGTGCTTCCACCAGTGGCACCTAAACAGTTATTCATCTAAAGTGCAGAGTAGTAGAGACTTTCAGAACACTGTGTGATTGAATAATTCTACGCACTTTTCAGTTTCACACTTTTTCGTAAAAGGTGCAGCTGCTGAGAATTATTTTTGTTTCTTAACCGGTTTGGCTAGCGTCATTGTTATGTGTGCAAAACATAGCCAAGGAAGGAACACTTAATTTTAGTTTTATATGTTTTTTTTCACAGCATACAACCTTTATTGTATTTATTTATTGTATTTTATTTATTAATGAAAATATTTCTGTAGAATTTTGGAGTCTTTGTTTTTATCCTTTTGGTATCAAAAATGGTATCGAGTATCGAATATTTTCCTTAATATCGGTATCGAGTTGAAAAGTTTAGTATCGTGACAACCCTAGTAGGAACCCTGTTAATAATCAGGTAGCTGAAATCGCTTCATGGGAAATTGTTCTATTAGCCTAAACTTTGTTGCTGGACATTACATTTATAGACCAAGAAGATTTAACCTACTTTTGTACAGTTTTTGTTTAATTACTGTTTTTTTCTGAGTATGTCTTACAGCCTGTATCCTCCGGTTAACCATTTGATTCAATTACCAAGTTAGCAGCCGGTTATTTAAATAAGCTATCAATCCGATTAAAAGTTTCAGCCTTCGCTAAGACCAAGTTAATCGGTTTAGGGAAATCTTTCTGTCCCCCTGAGTTCACACCTGTCCTTAACTACAGGCTGTAATCTGTTTAATTTGATATAAAGTTCAGGCGTTTGAGGTGAACTTTGCTGACCTCTGCAGAGGGATAAATGCTGTTTAGTCACTCACCTGATGACCATCCTCAGTAGGCAATGCAGTTAAAGCGTCTTGCCTGACTGAGTTGGACAGAGCTGGGGTTCTGAGGCAGAAATGCATCACTGTCGTCGTGTAAAAACAGTAACTGGGTCGGGGAGGATGGCAGAAGATTATTTTTTCTCTACCTCCACATGCTTTGCCTGAGAAGTTGTGTTATAAGTTAGTTTCTTCTTCTTCCAAACATCAACGCTTGGCTGAAGTCTTCCCAGAGCATTGTGAGGGATTTAGTTTTAAAAACTTAAACTTTTGAAGAAAAATAAAAAAAGAAAAGCATATAGATTCGTTTTAAGCCACTCAAACCATCTTTGTATTAGTTGAAAGCTGAGGAACACTGAAAAGAGACTCTCTCCATCAGGGGCGGTTCTAGGAAAACATTTCCAGGGGGGCCAAGGTGGGGCCATTGTTTTTTCACAGGGGCACAGAAAGAAGAATGAAAAAAAAAAACTTTTTTGTTTATTTAGAGCACCAATGAAACAAAAATTTCTATTCAAAATATTTCACATATAACACATGAGAACAATAAACCTTCACAAACCTGTACACTAACATTTAGGAGACTAACAGTCAAATTTTCATTTCAGTAATCTCTAATGCTCGTGCGCTGGCAATACCAAATCCTGCAACATTACAATAATAGTATTCTGCGTTTGTGGTTTTGTGCAAAATAGTCCACAAATGCATCAAGATCCAAAGCCTTTGCCCTTAGGATTCAATGCTTAGCAACTGCTGAGACGTTCATCAGTAATAGTGGACCTGAGGTAGGTTTTCAGTAATTTTAGTTTGGAAAAACTCCTCTCACAGGTGGCAGAACTCACTGGGAGTGCAACAGCAATTTTGCAGTCTAAAAAGCTCGCAGAATACTTCTTTGTATGGCTCAATGAAACGGATCAACTCCACTGTATTAGAAGGGTTTCCAATCTCGTGACTCTTTAGTTTTCTTTCTAAAAGTCTCCTGAACTGATGGAGTTCATGTCCCAGATCCTCAATATTGGCATCATAAAGACCAAATTCAAACAGAGTTGTGTCTTTTAAAAATGCATCACTCTTGGAGTTAAGAGATTGGATAAAACTCATCAGCTAAAAGTTGGTCTTTGAAAAACGTCTTCAGCGCGCCTGGAAGCTGCGTCTTCTGTCCGCCATAATGGTGGTTTGAAACATTAGGCTGCACTGGTTAATCATCCTTGCACTTACTGATATCTCAAAAGAAATGAATGAAAACATGAGGGTGTAACCGAGAGTATTAGTGGATTAATTCGCTTGTAATTATATATATTTATTCATTATAATACATTAAGATCATATTGAAAAAAGATAACTAAAATTAAGTAATTGTTTGAAATTATTGTATTTGTCCTTGATTTGAACAGGTAAATATCTGCCAATGAGAAAGATTTTTGCTCTTAGAATAGTAAAAAATTATCTCTCTCTCTCTCTAAAGTTAGATTCACTTTACAGGCACTTTACACATAGTCACACAGGCAATGTCTCTTTTTCTTTTCATGACTACTGACGTTTCCTGTGCTGCAAGAAAGTAATGGATAATATCTAATTGGCATAACCGTGACAGAATCTCAAATATCGTTAAGTTTAAAACTAGCAACTTTATATTTAATTCACTGGTAAAGTAATACCATGAAAGAAAATATTAAATCAGTTCCTAACCCGTATGGACTGCATTAGGCAAAACAATGACGCCAGGTTTCGTTGCAGTAAAAACGACAGTTGCACTCAAAGATGAGCATCAAGAAACAATCATATTTCTTGCCTACCTCCGTCTCTTTACACTATTTTCCGTTAGTCGTCCGACTCGTCTGTAAATGCTATTCTTCTTTCTTTTTCTCGTTGAGAAAATCCTATGTGAGCGCGCACCGCACTAAAGATTCCGCGTGAAACGTTGCGGCATATTAGTTCCAGTTTCCGTGTCATCGCATTCGGTTCGGCGCAAGGACCATAACGGGAGCCAGGGCCGGTTCTACAGGGGTATCGGCCCCTGTTGGCCCCTATCTAAAACTGCTTATGCTCTCCATATTAATTCGGCGGCAAATGATTCTATAGAACATAAACTAAAGCTAGATTTAGCTAGAAAGCAGATTTTTTTGAAGCACTAAAGTCAATCAAATGACAAAGAAATGTACAGCAGGTTCTATCTCATTGTGTAGTAGGGCGGAAACAATTACTCGGATTAATCCTTGAGCAGCAATTATACCAAAATTGTAAAGTAAAACAATTGTAAACATTTTGCATTTAAGATAAAAAAATAATTTTTCTCTGTCAATATGCTCTTCCAGCCTTCCTCAAGTAGAAAAACTTTATTTTCACTTGGTTTACCTTCTTAAAAAGTCTTTCTGAGGAACCTTTTGCTATCCGATTATTGATCGATGAATCAAAAGAATAATCAACATATTAATCGATTTGCAAAATAATTGTTAGTTGCAGCCCTGTATTTAAGTAGGCTTCGGTCCAAGTTTGGATGCATTTTTAATGAAAAGAAAGAAAAATCTATATTTTACTGTTCTGGACTTGCTCATCTGAGTCAATCTTTGAGAAGTTGTCCTATTCTGATCTGTAGTCAATCTATTTCAGCATCTCTTATCTTTTCTCACTTCAGAGATTCTTTATAACTAAAGAAAATTAGTCAAAATGGCCTCATATGTTTCACTGACTGATATTCTTGGTACATGTTTAATAGATTTTACCGATCGACTGCAAAGATGCTCTGGAGATGATCTGCAATCTGGAGTCGGAGGGAGATGAGAAAGCAGCTCTGTGTCTGTGTACCGCCTTTCTGAAGCGACAGCTGCTCCAAGGAGACGTTTACTGTGCCTGGTGAGAAACAAAAGATACATTCATCAAGTTTATCCTCAAGCAAAAAGTAGAATATATTTAATTTAATGTTTCTTCCACAGAAAAAAAAAACATTAAAAAGAATATGCAAAAATAAAGTAGCCACTAAATGTTAGCAGTCTTAATTTTCCTTTCTTTGTTGTTTTTAACCAAATATCAGTCACTAGGGTTGCAACGTATTAGGAAAGTGTTTTGTTGTGATTCTTGCTAATTTAAATTAATAGCTAAATGTACATTAATTAACCTGCATAAGCCCACCCACATCCTATATCATCTGTGAGCTTTAGCATCCATGCTGCTAATATGGATCAGATATTGTTATTTAGAGCAGTCAAGAGTCAATTAAATGGGTTGAATATATCGACCAGACAGAGAACGAGAACCCATGGACTTATATGCATCTTATAAACCTTATATTGCAATATTTAATTCATTGATGATGCCAAGATGAATGTTATTTGATGTGTTGTGCAGCTCTTTCAGTCCTGTTGCACAAGACTTATGGCAAACTGATTCAAATATGTTCATTTAAAAAACAAATAACGGCAGCCTTTGGGTGAAAACAAAAGATGGACCGATACAGGTTTAGTTAGGCTGATGCCGTTAATTTTGACTCATTCCAACTGATCCTCGATATATGCAGTGTTGGGCAAGCTACTTGTCCAGTGTAGTGAGCTAAGCTATCAGTTACTCAACAATAAATTAAGCTTCACTACACAATAGCTACCACCTAAAGAATTATAGCAAGCTAAGTTACACTAATGTGTTAAAAGTAGCTTAACTACATCAGAAGCTACTTAACGTTGTACCAAGCTAATGTCAATTCAAAATGAGTCTGACACACTAGTTAAAATATTTATTAAAGATCAGCCAATGACATAACACAGTGTAAACATTGCTTTATGATCAGCACATTAAAATAAAAACTGAAGTAATTACTAATAGACAAACTAGTAAACAATCTGATGTTATTAGAACCAAATGAAAGGTACTGTGTAGTGTTCTACACATGGAGACATGGCTATGAGTTTGCATTCAATGGACATCTCTAGGGAAAACAAAACCCTACAAAAGGCATCTTATTTCTTTAGGGTCTCCCATAGAGAAAACTTCTTCAGACCTCAATTAAACAGTTGATTCAAGTAAGAAATGAAACTTACAAAAAAGGTGAAAAAATAAAGAAGCTAATTAAGTGATACATACATTTATGTCTCACCATATAATTTTATTTCTACCTACATATTTATTCATTGTGTTTTTGGGGGCAATTAATTTAATGCTTATTTATTTATTTATTGAACATTTATTTATTTATGTATTTATTTTATATACGGTAGAGCTTTTCTCCATAAAAAATCTTATCTGTGCACAGCCTAAAAACAGATTTATGTAAACATCCTGTCAGGTAAACTAGGCCATGGAAATACAATATGGAAGTTTCACTACTGCTCTCTAATTAGAGTATCTTAGTGGCACATATGGGAGAATTATCCTGCCATAATGCAAGAGCACATCATTTCAATTTGAGAAAAGAATTTCATCTTCTTGTACTCAAAACTTATAATGCTCACACTCAAAACATGCGCTCTCTCTCCAATATTTTCTCTTCTCTCTTTGTTTCTTCTCTCAGATTTAATGCTTCTTGCACAGATATTTTCTCCTCTCGCTTGCCTCCTTCTCTTCGCGCACAAACCGAGCTCTGCTCGAGTCTCAGATACGCTCGCAAACCCGTAGGCTCTGCTTGCGGATTTTTTTTTTTGCTCTCTCGGATTGCAGTTGGATCGTCGCCTAGCAACCATTCCAGCCAATAGAACGACAGGCTCGGAAAGGGTGCGCTTGTGTAACCCTACTGAGTGTGCCTGTGCTACTACGCCACTTATAAGAGCGTCAGCTGAAACTGCTATTTACAGTAGCTTGTGGCTGATTGTTGTTTCAAAATAGAAAACCTGGTTTCATTTCTTAGTTTTGCCCTGGATTTTGTAGCGTTTGTGGACGCTACGTCGCTACTTGATCAAAACAATAACGTCGCTATAGGAAAGTTACTTCATAAATAAAGCAGCGACGCTACGGTCAAGCTACTGGAAAATGTAGTTAAACTAATAGCTTCGCTACATGTAGCGGCGCTACTGCCCATCACTGGATATATGCTACTGATATTTTTAGGCCGATCCTTATTGCTTTATCTTCCTTTATTCACATGATAAAAAATAACAACAATCCTATTAAATTATATGAAAAACTGAACAAAAAAACAAATATTAAGTAACAAATCAAACTTAACATTAAAGGTATAGTGGAGCACCCTCTCCACTTAAAACCAAAATGCATATGCATAACCCTGAACCCACTCCTGAAAGAGAACGCCTACCGTATTTTCACGACTATAAGGCGCACTTAAACGTCTTTTTTTTCCCTCAAAATGTGCAGTGCGCCCTTTGGTGCGGTGCGCCCTATGTGTGTTGTAACTGCGACTTTTGAGACCACCTCATTGAGGAGATGATGAAAGAGTGGCTGAATGTAAGGAGACCAGGTGTTTTTTTTCCACTCATCACCATCGCTGTTAATCTGTGACTCCATGCGTGCCCATCTCACAGCTGATGTGAAAATCATGGGGAAACAAATTAACGCTGTGCTCGCTGTTCAACCGCTCGACATCGGTGTGAACCGGACCCAGCAGGTGCAGCAGAAGCAGCGAGTTTACATGCAAAGTCAATGGTTGACGCGCGTATAGGTGCAGCAAAAAGCGCGTTTTGAGCAGCAGCCGCAGCGCCTCGGGAGCGTTTAAGTATCTGACGCACCGCCAACGCGCTGCTGCTGCTCGAGATGGAAAAATTAAAGTTTTTCTGCTGGACGCGCCGCATCAACCAATCAGAGAAGCTGATCTGGGAGCTGACAGCGAGACAGACACAGCGCTCTGATGACATTAACGCAATGAAAAAGGCTGGAGATGATGAAAGGGAGGTGTATGTGAGGAGACCAGGTGGTTTTTTCCACGCATCACCATCGCTGCGTGCCCATCTCACAGCCGATGTGAAAAAAAAAGGTGAATCAAATGGATGCTGTGCTCGCCGTTATCTCGGGGGTCTGACAAAGGAACTTCAACCGCTCGACATCGGTGTGAAGCGGCCGTTCAAAGTAAGGCTGCGAGCGGCGTGGGAGCGATGGATGACAGACGGAGACCACAGTTTCAGGATAAGTGGAAGGCAGCGCCGGGCAAGTTACGCCACCGTTTGCGGATGGATTGTAGATGCTTGGACTAATGTGTCTGCTGGCTCTGTTGTTCAAGCTTTTGCAAAAGCCGGCATTATTTCTGAGGAGCCGCGCTGCACGGAAAGTGACTCTGACAGCGAAGAATGGGAAATTGGCATGTCTGATTTAGCGCAGCTGTTTAATTCAGAAACAGAGGAGGATGACTTTGATGGGTTTGATTAATACTTTGTAATAAATACATGAATAAAGCACAAACATACTCAGTTTTGCTCCCGCTCTATTTTTCTACCTGAAAACTTAATTCAACAGCAGCCTCTGGGCGGGTCTCCTCCTCTTCAGCGCGGTGGCTGGCAGGTGTTTTTTCATCTAAATAATCTAAATCTTGCAGCTATATTTGCTGTGATCAGTGGGAATAAAGTAGTTTTAATATGTTTTTAAGTTAGAAAGGCCACCTGAAAACTTCATTGCAGTCAGTTCATCCAGATTATCTATTTCTGTCGGAGGCGCTCAGACCCCCACATACCAGCGGTGCGCCGACAGTAAATCCCTTCAACAGCAGCCTCACCGCGGCGGCTGGCAGGTGTTTTTCATCTAAATAATTTTAGCTGCAGGCACCAGGATACCGGCAATAAAAGCGAACATATTCCGTCGGCAGGTTTCAGGATTTTAAGTTAATTTAGGAGTCATCACAGCGCTGTGTCATCTGCGATGTGTCTGTCTCACGGCCAGCTCGCAGGTTTGATTAATACTTTGTAATAAATACATGAATAAAGCACAGTCATACTCAGTTTTGGGCCCGCTGTATTTTTAAAATACGCAGTAGAGGTATTTAAAGGTAGTAGAGGACGACATGTACCTGTATATAAAAAACGCGCCCTATAGTCCGGTGCGCCTTATGTGTGTGTTAAATACAGAAATGGGACACATAACTGAGACTGCGCCTTTTAGTACGGTGCGCCTTATGGTCGTGAAAATACGGTATTAAACACGTGCGAGAGCGTGCACGAGCCTACTTCTCCTCGTGCACGCTCGGTTTAAAAGTTACTGTTTGCATCGCTCCTACAAGCTTACTTTCCAAAAGAAGATTTTCAGTACGTCAGACTCATCACTGGTAAGTGAAAATGGGGACGAGCACGTAGGACGGACTTACGTAAACGTATCACCAGAATGATTGTGAAAATTAGGAGGACCACTTATTTTGATGATCCACCCGGAAAAAGAACATCCCCCACTATACCTTTAACAATTGATAGCAAATGGAAGGAGCAGAAATACATGCGCTTCACCTGATTTCAAGGAACTGATGCGGTGGTCCCCAAACTTTTCTTGCTGGGCCCCCCCTTTTGTATTCAGAAAGTTTCTACATCTCCTCGATCTCAAACCCTTCTCCAACAGTTGAATAAAGGTGGGAAAGATAAACAACAGCATTAGAATTTACTTGAAATAACTAAATCTACCACCTTTAATGTGGAATTAAGTGTAGCTGTTTATTCTACTGTAAAACAGAATGCAACGTTGCTCTCTTTATTCAAATCATCTCTACCACACCGCAGCGTTTACACTGCACCACCACACTGGGTGCGCCCCCTTGTTTGGGATCCACTGCACCTATACATTAGCACATCCAACACATCCACGTATCTGCTGAAACGAGAAAAAAAACGCTAACGTCACCCTAAAATATATTGCGGCCGATGTCTCAGTCTGTCTCTAATATAGGCTTCTTTTTTTAAAGCAAGTCAAATGCACTTGCTGTGTCTGATTGTACTTAACAACATGGAGATGAAGCTTCTGGATGCTGTCAGTAACCAAATCAATGAAATAATGAGCGACTCCCCTTTAGCAGATGATTTTATCCTAAACAGCTTGATTTGCCCCGGGGCAGTTTGGGTTTGGCACATGTCATCACTTTGATGCAGCCGTTTATGAAAGGAAAAAGGAATAGAGCGGAAAACTGTGGCCTAAGGCTCCACATAGCTTTCTAAGCCTGTAATCCTACCCTGTGGTATACTCCCCGTTTTAAATGTAAACAATCCATTGGCTTTAATTTGGCCTAATGTTGCCTTTGTTTACTTCAGGAATCTCAACTAGTCCTGTTTTCTTTCTGCTGCTTTTTTTCAGGGAACTTACGTTGTTCTGGAGTAAACTACTTATGCGGTTGGAGGCGTCCGCTGATTCGTTCCTCAGCCACAGCAAGCAGATGGCCCTCCTGTGCGGAAACGTCTGCCACATTCTATTTCTCATCAAAGTTATTCAAAATGAGGTAAAAACCAGTCTGTCTGAAAGCAACATGTGCACAATTTTGGTGCTTCCACTGACATCGGAACCATGATGATAAAAATAAGTGATGTAGTGTTTCTCATAATTAGGCCAATACCCTATAATGAGTTAGACCTACTTCTAAGGAGAAACTGTGTGCTTACAAATGTCTAAGTGGGATAAAGCCTATTCTGTGGCATTTATCCTGTGTTTTTTTCTTTCTAGGTTGGTGAGGTGGGACTTCCAGTGTGCATAGAAATGTGTATTCAAGCTCTAAAAATGACCACCAATGATCACAAAGAAAGCAAGTCTACCATCTGCAAAACCATTTCTTGCCTCCTGCCAACTGATCTAGAGGTCAAACGGGCATGCCAGCTGACCGAGTTCCTCTTGCAACCGACTGTTGACTCGTACTACGCAGTGGAGTCGTTGTACAACGAACCTGACCAGAAGCCGGAGGAGGACGGGAGTCTGCCGGTGCCGAATTCTTTACGCTGTGAGCTGCTGCTGGCCTTGAAGACACAGTGGCCTTTTGATCCGGAGTTCTGGGACTGGAAAACACTTAAACGCAACTGCTTGGCGTTGATGGGAGACGAGGCCGCTATAGTGTCATCTATTGACACACTCAATGACACAGATGAACAGGAGATGGAAAACGCTCTCGGAAAGCTCCCCGAATACAAAGATCTGGAGGATTTTTTGCTTACCACTACAAATGAACTCAATGAAATCACGGATGAAAAAGAGAAGAACAGAGAGGCTAAAAAACTTCGGGAGCAAGGGTTTGTGTCCGCTCGCTTTAGAAACTGGCGGGCCTATATGCAGTATTGTGTTTTGTGTGACAAGGAGTTCCTGGGCCACAGAATCGTCCGTCACGCCCAGAAACATTTCAAAGATGGGGTGTATCTTTGTCCAATTTGTGCTGACAGTTTTGAAAGCAGGGAGGTGTTAGAACCACATGTAGCATCACATGTAAAGCAATCGTGCAAAGAGAGACTGGCAGCAATGAAAGCTGCAAGGAAGGTAACCAAACCACCTCAGTCGCCTAAAAGTCCGTCAAAAATGGTAAAAGTCGCAGCCAAGACTAGCATAAATCCTGTTCAATTCAATCCTCAAATTGGCAACATCCCCACACCCCCTGTTAAAATGGAGCAGCCTCAACCCAGCACTCAGATCAGTCAAGACTGTTACTGTCCTGTTACAAACTGCACAAAGGCTTTTAAGTTCTTTCGCAACCTAATGGCTCATGTCAGATCGCACAAGGATGACGAGGAGGCCATGAGGTTTTTGGAAATACAGAAGCAGAAAGTGGTGTGCCAGTACTGCCGGAGGCAGTTCGTTAATGTCAGACACCTCAATGATCACCTGCAGATGCACTGTGGCAGCAAACCGTACATATGCATACAGCTGGACTGCAAGGCTAACTTTAATTCCAACTCTGAGCTACTCATGCACAGAAAAATGCACCCTGAATTTAAAGCTCAGTGCATGTTCCCAAACTGTGGTCAAGTTTTCAGCGAGGCCTATTTGTTATACGATCATGAGGCTCAGCATTACCTCACGTACACCTGCCAAACAGATAACTGTAGTAAGATTTTCTACTCACAGTCTGAGTTCCTGTCTCACCAGGAGCATCACAGAGAAAATGTTGCAGTGAACAGTTATGTCGTTATGAATCAAAACCCGGCTGTCCCCGTAAACCCTGATCCTCTACCTGAGAGCTCCCACATTACTGAAGATGCGCGCCCCTCTGGTTTTGGTTTTGAAATTAATAAGCGAGACGGATTAATGAATGAAGTGTCAAAGGTAAACGAATCGTCGTGCAGATCGCCAGAGGTTGCTCAAGATCCTATGAAAGTGAAACACTCGATTGAAAACATGCTGAATTCAATGGCAGGTAATGGAATGAAAGAACCAGGGAACTGTTACACTCCACTCACTAACCCCACTCCAGCACCCGATGATGCAGATATTCCACATGCACACCATGATGCGGCAAGGCAGGGTGACATTCCTCCAGCGTATCCTGTTCCCTGCGCAACCAATCCTGTAGCAGCGCCTCAGGAATCCATGCATAAGGAGGTACAGAACGAGTTTCAGAAAATGGTCCTGCCTATCATCTCGCCAAAGCAAATCAAGACAGAGATTCCCAGTTCCATGCAAGGATATCCCTCAAACAATCCTGTTGTTCCTGCAGGAAATGAGGAAAACTTGCACTGCTGCCCAAGTAACGAATGCTCAAGGGCATACAGTACAAACAAAAGCCTATCCAGGCACGTTAAGAAGCAGCATCCTGAATTATTTGAAGATTGGAAATTGGCTAAGAAGTATAACAAAGTTGCCAAAATCACAGCAAAAAAGAGGAGCAAGCAGTCCAACCCAACAGCAATACTATGCAACAAACCAGCAGTGCAGCAGATGGACTATCCAATGGGATGCTCAGCCTCACCCTCTCAGTGTTACCCTGGATCAGTTGAGCCTGTGCCTATAACCCCAATGGTCAATCCCTCATTGTACCCCTCCTGGGGGTGCCATAACAATCCCAATGCAATGATGCAGTCAGACATGTCACAGTCTTGGTCTCCACCAATGAATAATTGCTACCCTGATGGCTTCGGCATGAACGAATACTCCTCCCGCAGCTATCCTCCCTGGCAGGGAGACCCATACCACAACCCCATGCCTCACGCTTCTGACCGAGATCCTTCAATGGCAGCTATAAACAGTTCCCCCATGTCGCCTGCTCCTTCAGAATCAACTCTGATGTCTCAGTATGTATCCAGTTCTCTCATGCTCGACAATGGGGGACACATGCATAATGGAGGACATCAGTATGGACTGATGCACGCTGATGGTCCTGGGGACCACCCAGATGTGAGTAAAAGCAGTGCAAGTATGATAGGACACCTAGATAATGGAAACAGTCTCTCAACCATCGACACACTCCCTGATGGAAGTTACCACACTCCGTATGCTCCAAGTGAAAACTCGTGTCTCACTCAGTGCTCTTCTGTTGACATCCCCATGAAATGCGTGAGCCCTGAGCCGCAGATTCCCTTAAAGGATTCCGATGAAATTGCTAAAACTGAGAACACATCCAACCCTGGTTACAAACAGATCGACAATTCAGTCGACGGTGTGATCAGTCCTCAGAACACCGCTCACAATGATTTTCCTTACGAAGAGGAGTGTGCCGATACTGATTGCCAGGCTAACCCTTCAGAGGAAAAGGCAGCAGACCCCGAGATTGTGAAAGGAAAACGCAGCCGGCTGAGCAAGCGTACCAAGTGGCCTGCAATTATCAAGGATGGCAAGGTCATATGCAGGAGGTGTTTTAGAGAGTTCACAAGCACCAAATCTCTTGGTGGTCATCTCTCAAAACGCTCCCAGTGCAGACCATTGGATGAAATTGACCTGACAGCAGACCTCCCTACGTCGTTTCTGGATTTTCTCAATGATCCTCATGTCCCTGACACTAACGGCTCAGTGTTCAACGTGCCAAACGGAGATTTCACAGATGGATCCAGCAACCTCATTCCCCTGACTTCACAAGCGATGTTGAAACAGGAGCCTCAAAATACAAACATAATGGAGGATTCGAGTTCCTTCCCCACTCGCCCCGAAAACCAGCAGGACAAACCAGCAGAGACTGCAAATCCCCCACATGGCGGGCCTTATCGGGAAGATAACCTAATGGAAATTTCCAGCGCGTTCCAAAGGATGGATTTGATTGAGGCGGCACAGGAGAAGATGAGGAAAGCTATGGCTTTAGAGAAGAAGGAAAAACCTTCTATAGTGGAAAGAGGTAAATGTAAATTACAAAGTAAAAGTGATGAGAAGCCCATTGAAAAGGTACTCAAACCTTTTAAATGTCAGCAGGATGACTGTGAGTTCTCATTCATGACGAAGGAAGCCTTATTCAAACATTTGAGTAAAATGCATGATTTTTCTAATGAGATGATCGACGAACTCAAAAGAACACCATCCAAACTGTCTCCGTACCCTTGTCAGATCTGCCCTAAAACATTTACCAGAACAACAGGCTTGAGAATTCACTATGAAAAAGTCCACCGCCTATCAAAGGCGGAAATGCAGAAGTTAAAAATCAGTGCTCGGAATCGGCGTGCCTTCAGACTTAGCAAAGACGGCGCAATTAATAATCAACCAAAAGTTGAGCACAATTCCAATCCCCCAGCAGCATCAGCACCTGTAATGCCTACTTTAAAACAAGAACCGCTTGACATTGCGATAGCACCTCAACCAGAGTATGCAAATCCCCCACTTGTTACTGAAATCCCTCCAGAAGATGCTGTGAACCGGGTGTCCGTACCCGAGATACAAACTGTTACTCGTCTGCCATCACCTCAAAATTATCTGGCTGAAAAGCAGCTTGGGGAGGTGGCACCACCGGCTCCTAAATTGACTCCAGAACGTCCTAAATTGGCTGTTGTACATAGAAGTCCAAAAAAGAAAGCAAATTCCAGTGTTAAAGCGAAACTGAGTCCTGTTACCAAAGCAAATGGGCATCAGGAAAATTCAGACGTATGTTTGAATATAATAAAGGAACCAAAGTCCTCCAATGGATCTGTCTGCCTTTCCCCAGAGAGGCCAAGCAGCTCCAAAAGCACACCGACAAAGGAGGAAAGGAAGGAGAAATTACCGAAAAGGACAAGCCTCAAATTGTGTGAGACAGACAACGCCTTCAGCCCGTACAGACCATATCGGTGTGTTCATGAAGGATGCACTGCAGCGTTCACCATCCAGCAGAATTTGATCCTCCATTACAGGGCCATGCATCAGGCATCGCTCCCTCCCACCAAAGCAGAGTCTGAGTCTGAGAAAACGTTCCTGGAGGTTGAAACAGAGATCAGTCCCAGCATAGGAAAAGATGACGAGGTCAGGTGCCAGGTGAGAAACTGCTCCAGAGTGTTCATGGGAGTCACAAGATTAGTGCAACATTACCTCTTACTTCACAAGTTCACTTGCGACAAAGCAACTTCCATGATGGCCAGCATGGCCTTGGGTACTTTTAACTGTGATCGGCCTGAATGCGCTCTCCCCTTCGACTCCGTGGAGAAGTACATCGAGCACATCAAGAACTACCACAAGGAGATCGCTATTTCCGAGAGAGGTTCGGTCGATCCAACATTCCGGTGCGAGTACGACGGATGCGACCGCGTGTACACTACAAAATCCAATCTGCTCCGTCACCTGATCAAAAAGCACGACTACGTCTACGATCCCAAAGCAACTGATGGGAGACGGACCAAATCAGTTGGGCTCTTTCCAGGGATTAACAATGGAAAAGAAAATGTTGAAAATAAATTCAAAATGAAAAAGAAGAACACTAAAAAGAAAGATGGGAAGGCCATTGAACACTGGACCAGTTTTGGTAAGCCTACACTAAAATCTCACGAAGAGGCATCGGCCATGTGCATCAAGAAGTCCGCCCTGCAGTACCCGTGCATGATCATAGGATGTGATGCAGTGGAGCGGGCTGAAAGGAGTATATTTAAGCATTATGCAACTCATGGCCTCACAGAGAGATACATTGAAGACCAGAGGAGTCAGTTCATTTTCTGCAAAAAGTACTCTCGCTCTAGATTCAAAGATGCAAGCAAGTCAGAAGGTGCATCAAGTTCCTCTGAGACAGAAGCAGATGAAGGGGGAAAGCCTACTGAGCAAGTATGTGAGCAGAAAATTGAGGAGGAAGAGGAGAAAGAAGAAGAAAAGGAGGAGGAGGTGGTGGCAGAGAAAATACCTGAAGAAGAAAACAAGGTGTCAACTGACAATACTGTAGAATCTCAAGCTTCCATGGCGACAGAGGGAGGCCCTAAAAGAGGGCGTCCCAGAAAACCTCCACATCCCACACCAGCTTGTCAAAAGAGGATGCAAACCCTAAGAAACCGCTTGACTGTTAACAGTTCAACAGAGAACTCAAATCCTGGGACCCCAACACCCCAGGAGCCACAGGAAGAAGGGGCTACTCCGGGGTCTCTCGAGCCTTCAACACTAGAGGACTCAATCGTTACACTTTTGGAAACATCGGAGACGACAAACGCTTCTAAACGCAAACTAAACGAAAAACCCAACGCAGAAGTTCCCCCCAAACGAAAACAAACTCACAAACGGAAAGCTGCATTTAAAAGCAAAAAGACTCATGAACTGAAATGTGGCAGCAATGTTGTAGACTTCAGAAATCCACTAAATCTTAAATCTGTGAGTAATGTAAAAATTGTTATGGATAAAACATTTTCAGAAGGTGCAGATTCTGTACTTAAGCAGTTACAATGTATGAAGCCAATGGTTATTATTAAGAGGTGGCTTTATAGCAGGTCATAGCCCGATGTTTTGTTTTTAACTCAATATTACTCAGGATTTGAGATTTTATGCTGCAGAATGGATTGTTTCATAAAGCATCAGATTTCCAACTGTTAACAGTCATTACCACAGGTGACGATGAAAAGGCCTATTTTATACTTCATTAATAATGTCTCGGATGATTTTAAGTATGTATGTTAGTTATAATAACCAGGTAATCTATAGGGCATAGATTTTAGAAACATGTTTGTATTTATGCTTAGTACTGAAGATGTTTTTCTGTTTTTCTTATTTTTTGTTTTGTTGTTTTTTTTTTTGCTAAATGGACACTTTTAAAGAAAACTATGTTTTTAATATATCCCTATGGGATTTCAAGTTCTGTTTGTATTTATTTCATCCTTTTTCAACACTAGTAGACCTATCTGTAATATTTACATGTCTTCCACAAAGTGTTCAATAAAATGTTACTGTTTTTTTTGTAAAACACTGAGTCGAAAATTAAAAATATTTTCTTTGCTATTTAAATGAATCAGTTAACCAAAGCATCTTCTCAATCTGAAAACAACAGAACATGGCTCACTTATGTTTCTGATTGTTTTTTTTTAATGTGTCATCACAACTTTATTTGTAGAAGCGCCAACTCATATCCAATTATTGATGATAAAAGCAGTATTTCTTATGTTTAAATGGATTATATTTATAAAGGTTCATTCACTTGTGTCAAAAAAATTACTAAAGCTCTTAAACTGCAGTCATACTAGCATAATAAACATGCTATTTAACTACAGAAATAAATACAAAAGTAATGAAAGGAATACAATGAAAACCTAATATAAATTTGATGCATAAAGGTAAATTGATTTAATTGTAAATTAAACTTGATCCAAAATTATTAAAACTACTTTGATTTGTTTTATTTGTGGACAAATGGAGTATTTGAGATTTCTGTTGCTTATTTTGGTGGTAAACCCATAGTTTATTGTAATATAATCACCTTAGATCAAATAAACTACTAAGGTTAACTTAAATATATTAGTAATAGTAAATACTGTAAAGATGCTTTGAATTTTAATTTGCCTTTTCCTAACATATTAAGGATAGGATTCAATTGTTTACTAAAATAAAGAACATAATATTCCTCCGTTTACATATCCAGTCTGGCTGTACAATAATAAGTACTTTTTATTATTAAATTAATCGTGATTATGTCGTAAATCGTAAAATGAAACGTTTTATTTCGAAAACAAAGTTTGCAAGCAGGCTTATTGTGGTTTATGAATAGACCTTGCCTCTCAAAACATGGCGGCCTACGTATCGTTTCAACGTAAAAACGTCTGTCCTCTTGTATCTGTGCAGTGCACATGGTTTTCACAGTTTGTATATGGTTTATATATAGTTGATATTTTCTGTACGTTCATTACGGATTTTTGCCTACCGAAAACACAGTTGTATATCAGAGACGGACTAACTAATTATATGCCGAGCCCTCCCCTCCATGGTTCTGCTCCTCCTTGTTACGTCACATTGGCGGGAAGGTGGTGCTACGTCACGCTAAAGTGCCGGAGTTTTTGAAACGTGAGAAAACATCCATCAGGCTAACTCCACAGAGGGTTTCTGCTGCTATATTCAACAATGGCGACGTCGTCTTTCTCAAGGGTAACAATATTTACAACATTCAACTTTAATACGGTTAAATATCGCTTTATTATTGCATATTTGTAGACTGACTGTGTGTTTATGACGTCTTCCACAAAGGGCTGCTTCGTGTTTAAGCCCAGTGTTAAAAAGAAGAAGAAGAAGAAGACCTTTGATTTGGGTGAGAAATATTAAGCTCGTCCTACGGATTTGTTTTTTCTTTTCTTTTGGAAGGTGTCGGTGTCTAACCCTGAATAATTTCTTCTCAGAGAGTTATTTCACCCACGGCTGTGAAGATGCTGACAGCAGTAAAATGCGTTTCAAGCTCTGTTTGGATCTGTGGAACAAGATCAAATCAGAGACCGAGGTATGAGCAGGGGCGGAGCTAGATGGGGTGGCCATGACCCCCCCTTAGCCAATCATTGGCCACCCCTACCATTTATTTCCCTCTAATACAGATGGTGGCAACAGTAATAATCTCAAGTGGAATATTCAAAACATTTACATTTTTCATATATTAACTATTACTTTACAACAAAAACACTGTGGTTAATTCTGCACATCAATATACTAAGATTAACAATAAGTACAGAATTTAAGCAGAAATGTGTGTTTTATGGGGTAAAGAGAAAATGATGTCTCTGCAAGTCATTCAGGATTCTTTAGTGAAATCATGGATAAATAACTATTTTTAATAAAAACGTATTAAATAATCAATTTATGTAGAAATTAGTACTTGTAAATATCAATTTTATGCAGAATGATTATTGATAAAAGTAGGTAAGTAACGACAATGGAAGAGATGTTTGCCCAAAACTTAAACCTGAAAGAATTTTATCCACTATACCTTTTATTTAGAAAGCACGGATTTTTGAATATATTCGTCTATTTGTTAGCAAAGGCTGTAGGAAAGTATAATTTGTCTTTATTTAGAATATATGGATGTTTTGCTCATTAATTTTCCTGTTGGAACAGTGTAGATTGACCGTGAAGTTTTGGTGCCTATCTACTTTCGGCCCCCCCTCAGTGTACATTGGTTATTGCCCAGCCACCCTTATAAAAATGTTATGGCTATGCCCCTGGGTATGAGCAGATAACTGAATTGGAAAACTCGTAATAAATTAGCTCTGGTTTAAAAAGAAAACAAGATAAGCTAAAAATATGAAGAGATGCAGAATACCCCTCAAAGAAGCCCAGATACCTTCAAAAGCAATCTGAACTAAAGGGGTGTTTTATTTAAACTTTATATAAATCCATAATAGTCAGTCAAGACCTTGGAGGTTTGTTGGAGAATGAAAACATAAAAAAGACTAAAGAGCTCAGCAAACGAACAACGGCTTTGCTGCAATGCAGCTAAACCAAAGCTGAACAAGTTGTTATTAATCAGAGGAGCAGCCAATAAATAAATGGTTGACATGCCAAAACCTCTGGTAGTTAAACACTTAACAATACAAAAAGATAAAATAAAGAATGGATATGAAAAAAACTGCACCAGGATACATAGGGCTTAAACAAAGGAGTAACATTGTGATGAAAGTTGGTGAGGACACTCGGGTGGTGGGTGATGGACCTACAGTCACTCCACCAGAACATTTTCATAACGAATAACAGTCGATTCCGATGCCAAAATCGATATATCACGCATCCCTAGAAATACAATTTCAATTCCTTCCAGGAAATATGGATATGCTGCATGTGAAAAATAGCATAGCATATTTTTTTCTCTTGTAAACTTTCTGGAAAACTTTTAGATATATTTTATTGCATGTTGCATATCCCAATAAATCTGTTTCACCTTTAAACCTGCAGCTCTCCCCACTCCTCTCTGTGCTTTGTTAAAAAATATTTATGAACCTCTTTCCTAATATAATGACACCAGAAACAAAATTTCAAAAGACCCTTTAAAGGTTTGGCCCTTGTATACATCTCAGCCATGCTGCACGTTTATTACACACTCTGAGCTTTTGGTCTAACAATTATTTTATTTTTTGTTTTGAATATGACTAGTAAACTGGCATTGACATGGAAGGGATTATTTTGCACACTGTTCAGTTTCCTTTTGTCCCTTTCTTGTATTTCTTTAATTTTCTTATGCTCGGTTTTGTTGTTTCCTGTTTATTTGATACATGTCATTTGTGCATGGTGTGATTGACATGTATCCTTCCCATGTCTCTGCAGTGACTATTCACCACTTCACATTTGTTATAATGTGAAATTATCGATAAAGATTTTGACTAAAAAAGAAGCAAAATTTCAAGATGTGTAGAAGCTCTGCAGTCTGATTCTGTCTGCACAATAAGAAAACATTTGAACCTGTAACTGGGAACCATGGTCCTCTGAGAATTCAAGCTTTTTTAACTAGTAAAGAAGAACAAACTGTTTTCTCAAGCTTCTTGTATTATATTACTAACTTCTATAAATGCAATTTTTAGCTAAAAAAAAACTCCATATGTCTAACAAACAGATTTTTCGGTGGCGTGATCTCTAAATTTTTTTTTTTTTACCAACCCGTCTCCTAACTTTTACCTAAACACCAAAATAGCTGCCGGTTAATATTCACTGAGTGCTGCTGTGTGTCTCTCCTCCAACCACGTAGCGACTCTGTACGCAGTGAAATGCGACCTCAATTGAGATGTCTCAAAGCAACAGATCTGATGTTGCACTGAGAGGCGGGACGCGGGAGAGAGGAAAATAAAAACACTGACTCAAACGGTCTGAACTCTATGGAAGAGGATTAGGGCCACTGAAAAAAATAAAAGTTAACACATTTTTTTTTATTTTCTTTCAATTTAATATGGGAATTGTGACTTTAAACTCAGAATTTTGGATCTTAATGTAGATGGGCACCATGAAGGAAGAGATGTGGGAGCACTCAGCTTCACTGACAAAGATGTGAGTTGTTAGGGAGGAACAGTAACACATTGGTGGAAAATGACGGAATTAGGCAACTTTTTACGTGCCCGAGGGGTCCCCTCATTAATGGAGGAGCAGAAGGTCATTAAAACAAGAGAGCTAGTCTCTAAAACAGACATGGCTATGGCTTGATGCTAACATGTTTGTTATCTGTCAGAATTCTGAGAAAAAAAGTCAGAATTCTGAGATTAAAGTCAGAATTCTGAGATTAAAGTCAAAATTCTGAGATTAAAGTCAGAATTCTGAGAAAAAAGTCAAAATTCTGAGATTAAAGTCAGAATTCTGAGAAAAAAGTCAGAATTCTGAGATTAAAGTCAGAATTCTGAGATTAAAGTCAGAATTCTGAGATTAAAGTCAGAATTCTGAGATTAAAGTCAAAATTCTGAGATTAAAGTCAGAATTCTGAGATTAAAGTCAGAATTCTGACTTTTTTTCCCATATTAAACTGAAATAAAATTTAAAAATCAGTTAACTTTTTTTTTTTCAGTGACCCTAATCCTCTTCCGTAGAACTCAACTCTGTTATCTAAAGTAAATGAGCGTAAGGGGAAATTATTAGTGGGAACATTTCCACACCAGTCCTTCAGAAAGTTGCACCTGTGGGCTTAAACATGCTGTCAGAATATTTTCACAGCAGCCATTTTTAATATCTCCTTGCACTGATCAGGATGTGCTTCTGTTTCAGGCTTTGCAGGACGAGCTCAACAGAAAAATTTTGAACAGCCTGCTGGAGTTCACCAGGAAGTGCTCCTCCAACCGCCATCACAGCAAATGGGCATCCAAGATGAGGGCCAGCGAGATTCCCACTGCCGCGCTCGTGCTGGGTCTGTTAGGAAGAATCTGTTATCTAGAGCTTCTACCAAATCGATGCTAAATGCATTCTATTGATGCCCGCTCTAGGTGTGAATGTCCCAGATCACGACATGACCTTTCAGAG